CTCCCTCCCTCCCTCCCTCCCTCCCTCCCTCCCTCCCTCCCTCCCATCCTCTCTCCTCTCTCTCTCTCTCTTCTCTCCTCTCTCTCTCTCTCTCCTCTCTCCCCTCTCTCCTCTCTCCTCTCTCTTCTCTCTGTGGGTTCCTTCTATTTATATATTCCTCTAGGGTAGCAGTGACCCCAGGATCTCTCAAAGAGCAGGTTTGTGGGGTGTGGGGAGAGGCGAGCTGATGCTGTGATAAATGTCACTCCTTGGCCAGATGACCTGGACCCCGAGCCTAGGCCTCCAGTTAGTCACGCACAAAGGAATGGAGGTTCACTGGTAGTCTGTGCCCCTCCAATGGTGCTACCTCCTATTTCTGGCTCTTCCTTAGTGGGACATCATTCTGTGGGTTTTCACAAAGAGATGCAAGAGTCTTTCTGCCTCCGTCTGACATCTCCGCTTGATTTTCATTTGACAAAAAAATTAAATTCACAGAACGTTTTTGACTCCTTTGTGAAAATTCACTTTAATATTGATCGCCCTTGTTGAATAAATTACATTTCAAACCGAGTTTACTCTAGTCTCTTAACGTCTGTGGGCCAACTTCATAATTGCTAATCTGGTCTTAGTTTACAAGCAGTGAGCAAGCTTTCCAGAACAAAATGGGTAGGTGACTTTTAAAGTAGACTGTAAATAGCTGGCTTGTTGTCAAAAGAAAATATTGATTCAGTGTTATAGCAGATTTTTCTGATGTTTATTAGGAGGACGAACTCTCTGCTCTTGCTTCATGCAGCCAAATGTCAGGTCAGTTCAGTGCGCACTAACATGGGACTTTGGGATTGATTTTCACACTTACTCCCTCTTCTCGTACCTTCCCTTAACTCTGAGCTCAGCGTGTTGTGAGGGAGGGAGGGGTTTCTAAAATACACAGGCTAATGCAGTAAACCAACGGAGCAGACTGTATTCATGAAGCACCAGTGTGTTTGCTAAAGTGAATTCTGACCTGTTTATTCTGTCTAAGCAGATTTCCTTTCTTCTTCTTTTTTTTTTAAAAGATTTATTTTATGTATATGAATACACTGTAGCTATCTTCAGATACAACAGAAGAGGGCATCGGATCCCATTACAGATGGTTGTGAGCCACCATGCGGTTGCCAGGAGTTGAACTCAGGACTTTTGGAACAGCAGTCAGTGCTCTTAACCACTGAGCCATCTCTCCAGCCCTCTCTCTTCTTTACCTTCTTCCTGTTTCTCCATTTTATCTATTTAATGACTTTTTGTTGGGCAGGACAAATTCTATGTGATCTGTCACTTTGCACAAAACGTGTCTCTCATTGATGTTCCCCCCACCCCCGGGGTGGAGACATTTGATAAACAAGTACATAAGGAAGATATTTTCATTGAAGTGGCGTTAGAAGGTATGGGTGGGTGGGAAGGATGGTGTCCTGGATGATCTAAATGGTGTGGTCCAGGCAAGAGAGCCTCACAGAGAAAAATAGGTTAGATCTAGAGCTAGAGCTAGACAGAGCTGTCCTAGTCAGGGTCTTTTGGAACTCACTTAAGAGACTGCTTACAGCAGGCAGGTAGCCACTGTCTGCAGTGGCATGAACTGGGTGACATTGGTGGATCTGCGTTACCCTGGGCTGTGGAGGCCTCAGGAGGAGGAGTTGGGATTTTACTAGATAGTCGTGGAAAGTCACTGGAGTGTTGAAGCAGCGAGTATGTGGCCTGATTTACTTCCGTCTAAGATCTCTGGCACTGAGTGTGGCTGATAGAAGCCAAGTGGAGCAGAGGTTCATGGATGGTTCAATGCCCATGGTCAGTAGGGAGCTGCTTGGACAGGTGGTGGCAGTAGAGACAGGAAGCAGGCGTGAGACAGGAGGTCTGTTTTGGAGGTAAGTTTACTTGTCATTTTGGTGGATGTTATCGGTGGTGCTTTCTCTAGACAGTGGCTGCCACAGCAGCTCTGGGATTATGCTCTTGCTGGGGCTCTGTCAGACTGAAAGGTGAACAGTTACAGTTCAGCCTGCTCAGCAGAATGAAGGGCCCTTTAAAGACTAAGTGTGGTGGAATTTTTGCCTGATCCTGGCACTGGCTTAGGTAGGAAGATCACAAATTGGAGACCAGCTTTAGTTACATAGGGAGACCCTCCCATCTCTAAAAAAGGAGAAAAGTGTATCCTGCAGAGGCGGGTCAGTGATCAAGAGCACGTGCTGGTCCTGCAGAGGATGGGGTTCAGGTGTGCTTTCACATACATACACACTCCTCACGTCCGCCCCACATACACATAATTAACTTTCTTACAAAAGGAAAAAGTGCACTACCCAACCTCAGTCCTGTGACTGTGTTAACTTGAATGCCAAGAGGAATTTGGTAGATGTCACTAGGCAAAGAGCTTTGGGGAGAAAGGTGATCCTGGATTCTCTGGGATCTGATTACGTGAACCCCTAAGAGTAGACAGCTTTCCTGACTACTCCAGGTATGGCAAACAGAAGGTGACAGACGTGATAGATGGACCTTTCAAGATTGAAGAAGCCCCACCCACTACAAGAGAGGCAGGAGGTTTGGAACATCCCTCAGCTGACTATGTTTAAGTATCACTTGTAGTTTTTTTTTAGTGAGCCATCTAAGTCTGTCCTGTTTCCATTTCTCATTTGAATCCCTCTTCTTAATATAGTAGTTTCCCACTGGTTATAAAAATTGACCCCATGTGATAAGAATTGCAATATCCTCTACTACATGGTGTTGTAAACCATGAAAGTGCATTAAGAACAGCCCTGGAAGGGCTGTGGGGACTAGAGACTTGCCCACTGTGGGTTGCATCATTCCCTATGCAGGGATCCTGGACTGTATAGTAAAAGAGCTGAACAAGGCACTGATAGGGTCTGCATCCTGACTGTGGATGCAACGTGACCAGCTGCCTGAAGCCCCAGAGAGCCATAGAATGGAGTGTTCTGGAAAGCAAGCAAAGGACCAGAAGATGGAGTTGTTGTTGTTGTTGTTGTTGTTGTTGTTATTTTGGAAGACTTATTTCTAATTCGAGTGTGTGTTTGCCTGCTTTGTGTGTGTTTGCCTGCTTTGTGTGTGTATGTGTGTGTGTGTGTGTGTGTTAGATTTTCGAGTGTAGCTTAGACAGATAACGCCAGACCAAACAGTTCCACGAGAGGGGGTTTATTCGAGGCGGAGGGAAGAGAGCAAGAGGAGAGAGAGCAGAGAAGTAGAGGAGTAGAGGCCGGCCATGACCACGACCATGTGGAGAGAGGGGGAAGGGAAGTGGGGGAAGAGAGGGCAGAGAACCTACAGGCAGGGATCAACTGAGCAAGAGAGGGAGGTGGGGGCAGGCAGCCCCTTTTATAGTGGGCAGGCCTACCTGCCTGTTGCCAGATGACTGTGGGGGTGGATTTAAACAGAATACTAACAGTATGTTTACCATGTGTGTGGGGAGCTTGCTGAGACCAGAAGGAGGGTGTTAGATTCTCTGGAACTGGAGTTACTGATGGTTGTGAGCCGTCATGTAGTTGCTGGGAATCAAACCGGGGTCCTCTGCAAGAGCAGCCAGTGTTCTTAACCACTGAGCCATCTCTCCAGGTCTCTCTTTCAGGTCTCATTAGCCCGTTTTAGTCCAGCTAGTGAGAATGGCCCAAGACAGCTTACAGCAATGTGTTTGTTGGGGTTTGTTTGTTTGTTTGTTTTCCTACTTCAACTCCTAGTTCAGTTTTAACCACGGCAGACTAAAAGTTAAAGGTGTCAATCAATGACCAAATCATTTCACTGCCAGAACAGAAGGTTCTCAACCTTCCTAATGCTGCAGCTCTTTAATACAGTTTGATAATGTGTGGTGACTCCAACCATAAACTATTTCATTGGTACTTCGTAGTTGTAATGTAGTTATCTGACATTGGAAGTTTCAGTGCTACTGTCTGGTATGCAGTAAACTGTGGGGCTGTTGTGCTGAGGAATGAGGAGTTGCACAGCTCTGTCCCCGGATCCTTGAGGGTTGGTGTCACATACCCCACCCATTATGCATTTCTTGGAGGCTCAAGTCACCTTAAGTATATTGGTCACCTTTCTTTCTCTGTGATGATAAATACGCTGACCAAAGCGACTTAAGCAAGGAAGGTCTTGTTCTGGCTCACAACATCAGGTTGTAATTGATGAGGAGAGGTAATGCACAATAACTGGGGCTTCAGGCAGCTGGTCACACTGCATCCACAGTCAGGATGCAGACCCTATCAGTGCCTTGTTCAGCTCGTTTACTATACAGTCCAGGATCCCTGCATAGGGAATGGTGCAACCCACAGTGGGCAAATCTTCCATCTCAATTACCCTAATCAGTATAATTCTTCACAGGCACGCCCAGAGGCCCGTCATCTCCAAGGAGATTCTAGAGCTTTTTAGGTGACAGTTGGGATCAACCTTTGTACTCACAAGCACTTTACCTCTTCTCTAGAGGGCTCACAGTGACTATGTAAGCGCTGCGTAAATCGTTGTAACAATGGCCTGGGGTGGAGCTTTAGTCACTGCCAATTGTGTACAAGTCCCGGGTTCAATTCTAAGTACTGTAAAAAAGAGTTATTCTTCAGTGTTGTTTAGGGGATAATGACAAGGGAATAGCCCTGTACGTGTGTAGTCCAGAGGCAACCACATAGCAAGTGAAGGAGACAGGAAGCAAGTAACTGAGTGTGGGAGAGAGCCAGTAATGCACAAAGCTGATGACGCCCAGAACACTAATGGCTTCATGTGGATTCAGCGTAATTCAAGTGTGACATTTTGGAGATTTGGACAGTCTTTAAAATAACCTACTTCAGTTGAAGTTGATTGGTTCCTCAGTTACAGATCTTGGGGGGGGGTGACCTGTGTTGTCTAGTCAGATATTCATAGCGACTACCTGGACAATAGAGACACCTTATTCTTACCACGCAGTCATTCAGCTGCTTGAAAGTCATTTTACTGTTTTGCGTTCATGTGAAAGACCTCTTGTCTTCAGCATTGCAATACAGTGCCAGGTTCCCCTCTGAGAACAGCATATGGTAGTGAATGCTTGCTCAAGGGTCTTGAAAATAGCAGATACTTAGAGAAAGAATTTTGCTGATTTTATGTCTGGAGTGGAAGATGCATCATTAGAAGAGGCTTCCCATAGGATTGTAAAGGCCTTCTTACCCCTGAGATTGGGAAAGGCTACATACATCCTTGGTTTGTGTTTTCATTTCTTCACTTGCAAAGTGAGTAAAATAATTGTTTCCTGGATTTGTTAGCATACTTGTATTTTTCACAGGTTACTTAGAACATGCCATTTTCATCAAATATGATACAGCTGTGGGAAAAAAGAGCTTGTAGACTCTTGATGGAGTATAAAGCAGGACCTAGAATGTACGTCTCAGATGAGTTCTTGCTACGAGCAGCCGAGTGAGCGTGAGGTCTACCATGCAGCCATAAACTGGTTCTTATAAAAAATGAGCTGCACAGGGTAGGGGTTGGGGGCTGAGGAGATGGCTTAGTAGTTAAGGGCACTGGCTACTCTTCCACAGGACCCGGGTTCAATTCCCAGCACCCACATGATAATGACTCAAAACCGTCTGTAACTCTAGTGCCAAGATATCTGGTGCCCTCTTCTGCCCTCCACAGACAGTGCATGTATGTGGTGGATAGACATACACACAAGTAACATATCTGTACGTAGAAAATAAGAATTAATAAATCATAAAAGGCTATATGATCAATATCCGTTATATTCTTAGATTAAGGAGGCAAACACAAGCAGATTCCTCACACCCCACTATACTAAAAGTATTAAGTACTCACTTAGATCGTAAGATAGTTTCTCCCTTCTCACGGCTGTGATTTTTTTCCCCTTTTGTTAACTCCACTGATAATGTGTGTGGTGTTAGCCATCCTTTTTCCTTTCTGAAGGTCTCGGGAGTGTCATACAACCACACAGCTCAGGATTCTGAGGTTTGGAGGTTAGCTGCAGCATACTTTCAGGGGAGCACCTCACTACCTTGCTGTCCTCGCAGCAGAGATGGAAGACACACTCTAGAACACACACCTGAGAGTAAGACGCATGGGCCTCCACACAGATGTACTGTGGGCATGGGGTGGAGTCACTGTCAATCAGAAACGTGGGGGAACTGAGCAGGGCATGTCTCAGTGCTCTCCACTGAGAAAGGGGCCATTTCCTTGGCAGCCTGGCTTTAGTTCAGTTTTAGGAGTTTTCTTTTTATCACTTCCAAAACTTGGATTTATTTGGAAATGAACAGTGTTAATTTTCCTTTCCACTAGGGCCAAACAAAGCAAAAGAGGGTCTCGTGGATTCAGTGAATGTAGTGGCACCGAATGCAGGAAGTGGCCCCAAATTAACAAGCAGAAGTAGTGGATAGCACACATAATTAATGCCTCACTAGCAGGAGCCCACTTTCCCCCAGCATCCTACCCCAGGACCTTCTAGCTTGCAGTGCCCCAGCATCCACGACCCCTTATCACTTTCTCCTGCGTTATCTTGGAGATGGGAATTATGAATTATTGGAGAAAAGGAGTTAAGAGGCACATCAAAGAAGTGTGTGTGTGTGTGTGTGATTGAATAAGAGGCTATGTTGGTTGGGGCTGTTGGCTTTGGGTGTGCCGTCTCCGTCATGAAGCACCTGGGTTTGTTTTTCTCTAAAAGATGTAGATAAACTAGGGCGAATCCAGGAGAAGGGCAACAAAAATGATGTATGACTCCGAGGGAAGGAGAATAACAGTCTATAAATATTTGAAAGGTAATATAAAAGAGGGAGAGAGATTATTTATGGTGGTGGAAGGGATTCTGACAGGGAACAGAAGCTTGGATCCAGGAGCAGGGGGAAATTGAATAGAACTGGGGGGGAAAAAAAGCAAAAACAACCAAAAAACCAAAACC